TGGGGGGAAAAATAAATAAATAAATAATAAAAATTAAAAAAAATAAAAAAATAAAACATACTGATAGCCCATCATGGCTATAGCTGGATTATCTGAAATTGAGTCTCTTATTTCTGTTTCCTAAATTCTCATACATTTCAAAGTTTCAAATAAAAACATCTGGGCCAGGCCGGTGGCACAGCAGTTAAGTACCAGTGCGCTCTGCTTCGGTGGCCCAGGGTTCACAGGTTCGGATCCCACTGACGCCCTACTTGTCAAGCCATGCTGTGGCAGCGTTCCATATAAAGTAGACGAAGATGGGCACAGATGTTAGCCCAGGGCCAATCTTCCTCAGCAAAAAGAGGAGGACTGGCATTGGATTAGCTCAGGGCTAATCTTCCTCACACACACACACACAAAAATCCATGTTATTGGACCTGGAGGGTATTATGTCAAGTGAAATAAGCCAGACAGAGACAGACAAACACTGTATGACTTCACTCATATCTGGAATATAACTAACACACGGACAGAGAGAATGGGTTGGTGGTTACCAAGGGGAAGGGAGTTAGGGGGTGGGCACGAGGGGTGAAGGGGCACATTTATATGGTGACTGACAAATAATAATGCACAACTGGAATCTCACAATGTTATAAACTATTATGACATCAATTAAATAAATTAAAAAAGAAAAACAGAAGCAAAAAACAAAAAACCCATGTTGTAGTTGGATTGGTAGAAGATAAATAAGTCTCCTTGAAAAATTCATTACAATCCAGATCTTGATCCTCAGCCTTTGCTACAGACTGAATGTTTGTGTCCCCTACAAAAATTGTATTTTGAAATCCTAACCCCCAACATGTAGTATTAGGAGGTGGGGATGGGGGGGTGAGATTCGTGCCTTCATAAAAGAGATTCCTCCACCCTTCCCCCAAGTGAGGTCACAGCTGAGAAGACAATGTTTGTCTATGAACCAACAAGCAGGTACTCACCATACACCAAATCTGCCAGCGCCTTGATCTTGGACTTCACAAGTTCCTGAACTGTGAGAAACGTCTGTTGTTTATAAGCCACTCAGTCTGTAGAATTGCAGCCCAACAGACTAAGACAGCTTACTGACCCAGAAACCTAATTTGTCAGGAAGACTTACATTAGTCATGCTCACAGAGAGTTATGAATACAAAAAAAAAAAAAAAAAAAAAGCCAATATTTTAATCCACAGCGAGAAGGGGGGCCGGGGATGTAAGTGCCTTTCTCACCAAGGGAAATAGCTTGGTAATGGAACTAATCCAAGTACAGCCTCAAAGTGGATAATTGACATTAAACAGTAGATTCAGTTGTGATACAGGAGAAAATAAAGTGCAAACAATTTCATGGTTAAGGAGCCTCAAAAATAACACACCAGCAAACTAACTCAGGCTAAGTTGTTGTGAATGGTTTTAAATCAGGTAGTGACCAATAAAAAGACAAATTATCACTTTTTCCACCAGATATTCATTCAACTCATACACGTGTGTACATGTATGCAAATTTATCCTCTCAAGTGAGCAAAGACACGCCCAAGTTAGTTTGGTCGAAATGGCATGGAATAATTTCAAGAACTGTAGGAAGACTATCAGGAGTTATTTAGTTGACGTCAATTTCTATCAGTTAAAGGTAAAAAAGCTTGCGGTTCATAATGGAAAGGCTATCGCTGGCTGTGGTGGATGGGGGAGATTCATGGAATACATTTAGTATCATTTAAAATCTATTTTAGCAGGAGATCAAGAGGCAGGGTTTTTGTCTATTGTCTAAACTTTTTCTTAGTAAACTTATTTTAGAACAGTTTTGGGTTAACAGAATTATAGCGAAGACAGTACAGCCTTCCCTATAGCCCAAACAAGACAAGGTTTTTAAAATTTAACTTCTACTTCCACCCCTACCTAAACTCTCCCCTACTTCTCTTTGCTTCTGATCTCTTCACGTTTAGGCAGGGCCTACTTCACACAGTGCAAGTTGAGGATTGTACGAAAACCCTGTTCAGTTAAAACTTCACCGCCCGGCCACGACTGGGTCAAGAGTTAAGCTCGCGAAACCCGAACGCGGAAACCCTAACGCTCTCGCCCAGCCCAGCCCCGCTCTTCCACGGACGCGCCGAACCCCTCGCCAGCTTGGCTCCTCCAACTCGGTCCCGGCCGATGAGCATGAATCGAGACCAGGGGGATGGGCAGACTCCACCCGGAAGGCGCCCAGGACCCAGCTGGGCGAGCCGAGGGCGGGACTAAGACAGCCTCCAGCTTCACGCCCCTCCTCCGAGGGCAGGATCTCGAAGCCAAAACATTTAACCCCAAAACGTTCAGATCTCTGAGGCGTGTGGCGGATTACACGTATATACGCACATACGTGACGGCGGCTTATTGTTTACTGCAGACGCCAGCAGGCCGTTCTCAGGCGCAGCCCACTCCCTTCCACAGCCAACACCCCCAGGCGGCCTCGCGCGCGCCCGGCACCCTCGTCGCAGCCCATCCCTCGGGGCGTCGCGCGGGGGCGGGCACGCGCGCGTGAGGACGTCCGGGGAGCGCGCGCGCCGCCCCCGCCGCCGCCCCCACCACCAGGCTGGGCTGGAGTTGCCGGTAGTGGGATTTGAAGGTGATGGCCCTGACTGCAGGCCTTGTGGTGCCGTCGCTCGCTGTTCCTGCAGTCTCTGCCGAGGCGTCGGTCCGCTCATCGTCATGAGAGGTCAGGCCTGGGGAAAGCGGGCGGAGGAGGCGAGGGGCCGCGGCGAATGGGCTCTGGGGAGAAGAACTGAGGCACTCGAAACTCGAACGTGGGAGGAAAACTGTCCTAGGGGTTCCGGAAGAGTTGTTTGCGTTTACTGTTCTCCCTTTTTTCTCCCCTTTCTTGTTCGTGCATGGAGGAAAGTGGGAGGGTCCTATATTTTAATTTATGGAAAATATACTGAAACGTCCCGTACCACATCCGTCTTCAGAGGTTTGAGGAAATACGTAGCACCCGTGGCGTCGGAGCATCGGTGAAAGCCTTTAATTGAAAGGCACTAAAAACCAAACCGCCGTACAGTCACTGAAAAAAAAAAATTCAAACCTAGGCGTGAAATAGAATGACACAGAACATGCCCTGATGTTAACCTTAGCTTCCTCCCACAGAAATGGCAATCTGGGATAAGGTCTGCGTTTTCTCAGCTGGGATTCTGACTCGGGCATCCTTGACGGCCGCCCACACCGGTCATTTAGGGATCTTTCCCTGCCAGTATCCTCTTTTCTGACCTCCCTCCGCAACCGATGGTGGCATTGTTAATGGGCAGACTATGTAACTATCCTTATTCAGACTAGAGAATCACCTAGCAATTACGTGGTGACTCCTCGAATTTCCCTATGTTAAAGGTATTTAGGTAACATTCTTTTTTGGGAGGAGGTAATACTCCTGGTATTAATTATTGGAAACCTTTTTATTAGCTTTGGGAAAGCTGTTTCAGCATAAAACGAAATTTGTAGGTCACTTAAGTGAAATATTTATTATTAGTTCTCCATGATGATACATAATAAGGCATTAAGATTTAATGTTTTTTTCTTCCTAGCCTTACCAAGCATTAAAAAATACTGACTCACTCTTATGAAATGTACAGTCTAAATCACAGATGAAACTGCTTCAGTTGGGCAGAATAAATGTATTGAAGTATGAATGAGTACTAGTACTCACATTATTGTCATCTGCTAGGCACCCATACTTTGACTATTTTGCTGATTCCTTCTGTCATTAGAGAACCGGAGGCATCAGAAGCTCAGTTTTGTTGTTGTTGTTGTTTTTTTTGTAGCATTATGTTCCCTAAAAGATAGTTTGTGTAGGGCAGCAGAACCTTGGCATTAAGGGAGGAGGAAGGAGTCCAGTACAAGTGATAGATAACCTGAAAATAATTCATCTGTGCTTATCAGCCTCTCCTTTAGTGAATAAAGGATTCCTAGTGAGCAATATATTGCCTGTATTTAACTATTTACTTAGAATATTTTCTGCTCTTCGATTTTTAGGAGACAGAGCCCTGAAGCAAAGAAATCTGGATCACAGAAAAAGTATTCAAAGGTCATGCAAGCCAACTGTAGCCAACTGCACAGTCCTCCAGGAGCTGCAGGCAGTGAGGATGCCTCAGCCTCCCAGTGTGTCCATACGAGATTGACAGGAGAAAATTCTTGTCTTCATTCTGGAGATGTTCATATTCAGATAAACTCCATACCTAAAGAATGTGCTGAAAATCCAAGCTCCAGAAATATAAGGTCAGGTGTCCATAGCCGTACCCATGGATGTGTACATAGTCACTTACGAAGTCACTCCCACAATGAAGCAAGGCAGCCTGATGATCCTGCCACGGAGTCTGGAGATCATGGTGGTAGCTCCTTCTCAGAATTCCGGTATCTCTTCAAGTGGTTGCAAAAAAGTCTTCCATATATTTTAATTCTGGGTGTCAAACTTATTATGCAGCATATAACAGGTAGAGTATAATAAAACATTGAGTTTCATTTGTAAATTCAGTTAATTTTATTTCTTTTTTGGTAATCTACTTTAACCTGTGTATTTCAGTTACTTATTTTCTGTTAGCTTTTAAAATTGTATATATTTCCTTTAAATTTATGTCATTATGTTAGGTCTTTGATTTTTTTTCTTTCAATTAACTAGAACTTATTTTCTAACAGGAATTTCTCTTGGAATTGGGCTGCTTACAACTTTTATGTATGCAAACAAAAGCATTGTAAATCAGGTTTTTCTAAGAGTAAGTATAATAAACAACTAAAAAGTCATTAAATGTTTCTCTCTGTAGAATTATATACTCACTTTTGAGAGAAATAGGAATTGAGATAGTTTGACAATTATTTAAGTATATATATTGTAACATTCATGATATATTAAATTTTATTACCTAAATGACCTAGAATAAATGATCTGTCCTAATGCTGATTGTTTCACCTTATTTTCTTTGTATGTCGGGTTCCTGATAAAGAAAAACTAGACAGAAGGATTAAAACATTGAGAATGCACTATTTGATCTGATTTGTCAAGTGCCTTCATGTTTTATCAGTTAATTTGACCATACTAAGTAATATAATCATTAAAAACTTCAGCTGTTACACTGTAAGATTTAAAATAGTTTTAAAAAATGTACATTGAGGGCCGGCCCTGTGGCTTGGTGGTTAAATGCGCGCGCTGCAATGCTGGTGGCCCGGGTTCGGATCCCGGGTGCG